GAAGAAACTGACATTGTTACTCATGAAATAGGAATTACTGATAGTGAGGAAAACGATGACAGAGAAAGAAGAAGCCAAAGCAGTCAATGTTACAATGACGTGTGCAACCAAGAAAATTCTTTTGGGATTTAGATTTTTTTTCAGGCTTGGGTCATCTGCAATTTTGCTTCTAAACTGGGGTTGGGTCATCTCATTTTCAGCATCATTTTATGATGGGCCAAGATAGAAAAACACTGATTCTATTCTGATTTTGCCCCCCCCCCCCCCCCATACTTTATGACCAGTCCATTAGGTTGTATTTCATGACTACTTCACACGAATCTTGTTGTCTAGTGGGAGTACTGAAAACAGCTAGACCACTGCACTCAACTTAGAAGTTGCAAAAGTATCTTTTAACAACTCCTTCACTCTGTCAAAGGATCCATTGTTAGGTGCTGGGGTGATATTCAAGATGCGACAAAGCAGTGGATATATATCAACTGTATTGAAGGGTTCACATGTATAACCCTCTTTAAAGCTTGGTCCTTTTGCGACAAAGAATGGCTTCATCGACAGCAGTTCAGGATTATAGCAATGATCACCGTGGATATCATCTGTCTTATTATGTTTAAGCCAATATTTCCAAAATCCGGTATTATTTCCCACCCAATGTTCATTCATAATGGCAATAATGGGAGGTGCTCGTCTGTTGTTTTTGAAGTGGAATCTTTCAGGCATTTCTTTGGTTTTAAATACAGTTATTAAATGTGTTTCGTTTTGCATTTTTTTGAAGCATTCATATACATATTCTAGTTGACTATCTTGTTTGGGCCAGATCTGGATGGTCGTCAGTCCACTTCTAGTGTAGTAATCTTGTGTAATGTAATTATCAAAGTTTAGAAAGAATGTGGTATTGTACGAAGCGTGTCCATGGTCTGATGTTAAAACTAAATTGGTCGTATCAAAAAGATTGTGCTCTTTTAGACGCCTTATTAAATATCCTGTTATATTATCACATCTTCGGATACTTTCTTTCACATCAGTCGAGCCTGGTCCAAATTCATGCGATGTTTCGTCCGGTTCGTTGAAATACATGGCGATAAAAGAAGGAGGATCTTGACTTTGCATCCAGTTTACCACCAAGTCAACCTCGGCTTCGAAAGACATACTGTTTATAGGATGATAAAATGGCTTGTCAAAGCCCATGTTCTTGGTTGTATATAATGGGAGGTAATCTCTAATTTTAACATCATAGCCAGGGAAAAAACAAACTCCGCTTTTGTGTCCCTGTTTTTCGTTTGTTATCCAAACAGGTTCTCCATCATTCCACCAACGAGTGTCGGTTGTGTTCATTGAAAACGATGAATTCCACACGGGATCGTAAGTATAATATCCCGAGAGAATCCCGTGACTTTCGGGATACAAACCGGTTACCATGGAGTAATGGTTAGGGAGTGTCTCTGTTGGAAAGACAGGGTTGATGAAGGGAGCTTTGACGCCAGTACGAACAAGAAAATCAAAGTTTGGTGTGTCTGTTTTGGACATATAATCCCATCGAAATCCATCAAAAGATATAAGAATGGTGGTGGTATTTAGTACGGGTGCTTGGACTTGATCCAAGGCAGCCAAGAGAGCCTGCAGTAAACTACCAATGACCAGCGGTAACCATAGTCTAAGATAATTCTGGTTTATCATCGTGCACCCCAGCGGCAATCGATCCTCCGCTAAATCACTCTGAAATCACAATAAGATAGATTATTGAACGTATTGGTAGCATATATATATATTATACGCAGCCGCTATTAGTGTCGTCACGCAATGCTCAATCTCTCAAGTAGCGTTACTTAGGGGAAGCTAGTGAGCATTGAGTGACGACACTAATAGGGCTAGCGGCTATTTTGAGACAAAATGAAAACGTAGAATATCATTCATTGTCAAATGATAYTTCCTGGATGGGCAAAGGGGGTGGGGGTGTTTGCACCGATTGGAAAAGGGCGGGGCCGTTCGTCGTATCTTTTAGAGTTCCAGACCTTTGATTTGAATTGATACCACTTAGGCTGCCATAAGTTTCAAAGGAGCACCAGCAGAGAKTAAGCCGGTATCTCTTGATAGAGTGTTTGTAACTTAACAAAGATTCGATAATGACACTGAACCAGCTCGTGGAATGCCAGTTGTACTGTTTTGGCTCATCATACTTATCTCTCATATTCATCATTTGAATGGTCGTTTTTAACAAAAGATCCTCACTCGTGATAGAAAGGAATAAATATCATATATTTTGAGACAGTGTTACATTATTTCATGCGAATATTCATATTCTTTTAAAATAGCCGTTAAGTTTAAAAGCTAGATCAGTGAGCAATTGACGTCTTACCATAAGAAAGATGTCGGCTGTGCCCTACGAAATATAGGGCTACAAGTTAATCAATTAACAAAATTACTGTCACCCTCGTCAAATAAAATCTTTAATCAATCAAATAAATTAGTCATGGGTCCCGCAAGATAAAGTATGTTTTTCTTACATAGTAAAATGATGGTGTTTAGCTAGAGTGCTGATAAACTATAGGTCCCTTAGCTGGGTCTCTGTTTATCGCTTGATTATCTTATATAACAGTGTGAAGTAACATTTAACGTTGCTGCTAAAAACCAATCAGCCGTGTTTAGAAGGTTACATATTTGAGATAACAATTGAAATCTGAGAGCACACCAGTTATAAACGACTAATTGTTTGCAATCATTTAATAAAACACCCGAAAAAATGGTCGGTAAAAAAATGGTGATGTGATTCGTAACATCTTAAACATCTTATTTGTATGTTGGATTTACAAGCAGATTGGTGTTATAAGAACGATTAACGTAACGAATCAGTATTCTATCCATTACTGACCATTACTTAGCTTACACTCTAATAAAATAAATTCTTTATTTAACGAGGGTGAACTCTCCCAATGCGAACTGTTAAACGGGACGAAGTACATGCGTCTCGATACGCTTTATTATGTTCAGTCGTGGAACGGACTGCCACGCACGGCTATAAAAGGCCGTAATTACTTACGTGGGTAGTGATTACTAATTTTTACGCTATATGCTTCCAACAGGAATAGGCTGTTGAACGGGGCAGACAATCCCTTACAACTGAGCCAACCTTACTTGTCAGTAATTTCTTGTAATGGTCTTCCTAGCTTCCTATAGCTGCGCTTTATCGACCCATTATTACCAGTATGTTTATTAAGACCAACTGTTCAGGGAGTTTACTCAATTAAACAAGTACGTTTTCCGGCACTGGTGGATAACAGGTCGACTTATCTTAAAATTGAAAACATTAACAAGAAGACCGTGTTGGGAGCCCTGTGGTGGAAGAGTTGGGCTTCCTGTGTTAATGTTGGAGGAGAACAACATGGCTGCGTCAATAGAATGTGCAGATCGAGATCAACGAGGAGTTGTTTTACGTGTAAAAAGAAAAAGAACTGACGATCCTGTTGAAGCATTAGGTACAACTTTTCTACTGCATCCTTAGATTGATATTAAATAAAATAGCTTAACTGTGGCCTCATATTCTTACATTTGGTTTTCATTGAATCAAGAAGCTCCAAAAGCTTGTGTATGAATTATCCTTGATCGATCTGCTACTCATATAGATACTTTATTTGTGTATCTGTAGTTGTTTCTCATGTTATTCCTGCAAAGAAAGCTCATCTAACAGACGAAGAACCAGAGGACAAATCGAAAACTACCGACAAAAGTGGAAACGTCAAAGGTATAAGTTTTACTTTCATTTTCATGTGCACATGCAATTTATTATCATTACGCCCTAACTACCAAATGTATATTTTGTCTAATGCACGATAATAATGCATCGCTATTTCTGTTAGTTGACCAGTTATTTCGATTTCTTGGGACGTGCAACGAAGACGATAGCACCAAAAGTAAAGATATTCTGGTAGGTTCTGTATAAACTGCCACAATATTTCAATGTTATATTTAAATGAATAGAAGGTTTATTAGCTTACCTAATATATTTAACGAAAAGAAACTTGCGTAAATTGGCTAACGCATGTATTCTTCCTAAACTTTCATTTCAGAAAAATATCAAAACAAAACCAATAAGTCATGGGAATCCCAAGAAAGGTGCCAAAGGAATAACAGAACAGTTACAGAAAAAGCAGAGAGAAGCAAAAAAAGTATGATCTGACTGCAATATATCTCTTGGTTCATTCATCCATTTGTTCATTCATACGTTCATTCATTTTTTCTCATATTTATCCTTTTTCTTAAATGCTTTGCTGTATATTTGTCTAGGAATCACATAGTGATGCCAGGTTTAAAATCTTAAGCAATAATCGTTACGACAATGAACCAACGTCTAGGTATGTACAGTACTTGTATTTACGATTTTCTTAGTCAACATATTCTATAGTGAAGGGCAAATATAATGCACTGATGAGTTTCAGATGAGTGGTGGAGAAGCTATAGTAGTACCCTGCAGTATGAAACTTAGATCAATGCCATTTTTTTTTTTGGCTACTGCTAATCAAATTTACAATGGGCCTAGTGCATTCCTTTTTCAGGCAATAAATGTTTTCCCATTGGAAAATGGCTGTTGAGTTCCCAGGGGCGGGGGGGGGGGGGGTACCCCCCTATTTTTGCTATACGGGCATGTGCCACCTTAAAGGGTATGGTTTTTCGGCTTTTGGGTCTGGGGTAGGTTAACGATTTGGTCATTTTAGTCTGGGATAGGGTTAACGATTTGGTCATTTTAGTCTGGGATAGGGTTAACTATTTGGTTGTTTTTGTCTGGTGAATAGGCTACGCTTTCTGACCGCACAAAAACAATAAAAATGTTTACTTAGTAAAAATTGCAATCTATTGACAAACCGGGTTTAGTATGGGATAGGGTGTTCAACTCTTAGTTTTAATCTGGGGTAGGGTACTATGTAAAAACAAAATTTTAGGTCTGGTATAGGGTCAGGGTTTTGAGGTCCTGGCGGCACACCCATACCCAAGTTGGGGTGGTAGTACCCCCCTCTCCCCCCAGGGTTGAGTTGCAGTAATATTTATTGCTTGCGATCAGAATGCACTCGTCCTGTGGTAAATTTGATTGGCAGTACCTAGCCAAAACCCCAGATGACTCCAAATGTCTGGAGTAGGTTAGGTTGCAGAAATAAATAACTTTGATAAGCTTAAGAACGAGTGAAAATATTTATTGAATTATTTTTAATTTCTAGTAACAAAGATTCAAATGCAAACAAAAAACCAGAAGTATCAGAATTGAAGAGGACATCATCAGATGATTCTGCTGATTCTGCTGATGACGAAGTCAGAAGATTATTCAAAGTTTATGATGTCATCAGAGATGAAGAAAATAAAAAAAGGTGATGACTACGGACACTGGAATACAGAATGATAGAAAGATTACTTTGCTTTTTTATTGAGTTTATATGCAAAACATTTCTAGGTTTGGGATGTGATGTGTTTAAAGAAAAAGCAAGCTTAGGAACATGAAGCATACCTGAGTGTTTATCTTGCATTTCGAGTGCTCTACAGCTCCAAGAGTGTTTTATATGTCACAGTACAGAGACAAAAGCAGCCATTTTATATTGCTTTTATGAAATATTTTTGAATTATATTGTGGGGGCCTGCCTCTGTCCTCTGACATAAACATGGGAGCCAGCCATTCAGGATGCATCACATATTTCAAATATTTCATAAAACACAATATACATTATAATAAAAACACAATGCCATTGATAATATATGTCCCTGTTTTAGGGGCTTAGCTTTCGTTCATCAAATTCCTTCAAAAATATGAAAGTTTGATTGCTGGATGTTATGCAAAGTTTCTTTACACTTACAGTACTTATTCTATAGCTCTTGATGTTGTTTTTCTGCTTTTGAGGAACTTCAAAACAATTTTATTCTGGACATGTACATCATGTGCATTCTTCTTTCACACACAAAAGTGATATTGATGGCTGATTTATACAAAATTCAAGAATAATGTTTGTATTACTTGAACAGTGTTTTAAATTATTATGTATGTTTTTAAAACATTAGTGGACAGGCCTCTGCCTCTACAACATCATCAAAACCAAGCGAACCAGAAGATACAAATGTCATCCTTTGCAATTCTGTGAAGATGATTAGAGAGAAACTTGCTGTTTCTGAAGGTACGGTAAACTACACTTTTAATTTTCCAAACTAAATATCATAAAAATAGAAACTTTATTAAATATCAACTGGTGAGGTTAGAGAGATAGCCAAGGGAGAGAAAGACTATTTTCCACTTGTTTGTAGTTCTCATTCTTTTGTGAAGCAATTACAGTGTGGAAACTCAAACCATGAGCACTTCAAGTAAGTTTTTTTTGAAAATCACGGCTGTCTGTAGGAACAAAGGAATCAAGCATTTTTAGGTGCCATACAATCACAAACGACTTTTTTGGCAACAAAAATACAGGAGACTCTGGATTCATGTGAAAAAATGTTGAAGCCTCAGTAAGAATATGGTTTCTGATTGGATGATTAAAAAATATCTTAAAAAACCTTCTGTTGATGGTTTGAGTGTCTGTACAATAATACAAAATGGACTGAAGTTTTGATCATTTGACTCTCAGGAAGCAGGCCTGTTAACATAGCAGAGAAAGGCTATGTATATGACTTTTACTATGCACCAAGCAGCCAGAATGATCTGGGAGATATGTAAGTATTTGGGGGGGGGGGGGGGGGNGGGGGGGGGGGGGGGGGGGGTGACAATAAAGTTTTAACGAGTTTTTGGGCTGTGATTTTGATTTAAATACTTATGCTTTTGGTTTGTTTGCTTGAGACTTGAAATAACAGGTGTGAACAATGATTTGTTTCTGGAGACAATTGACCGAGAGTTTGAGGAAATGTTTGATGATGAAGATGATTCTAATGGTAAGAAACAACACCTTTAGACAACAAAACAGGTGACAGTCTGGAGGAGTGGCCTAGAGAAAGGAAGGGAAGAACAGGAGAAAGGGAAAGGAAAGGAAAGAAAATGGGAAGGGAAAAAGGAATATGGAGAAAAGGAGAAGATGAAGAAGAGAATGAGAGAGGAAAGAATAGGAAGAGAAAATGGAAGAAAGAAATAGAACACAAAAATAACAGAAATAGAAAGAATGAGGTGAGGAAGGTTAGGGAAAATGATGAAGAAAGAAGAGATGGCAGCAGAAGGAGAAGAGGAGGGAAAGACAAGGGAATGTAGAAGAGTTTTTGTATAAATGTATGTAAGTAATATTTCTGGGCAAAGTAGCATGTATGGTTCCTATGGTCCTTTCTAGTCCTTACATTTTGCTTCTAGTCTTGTCTATTTGTTGTTATTGTTCTTTATTAGTTTACTTATAGTTTATATGTTTATTTATTATCATGATTGTACATGCAGTATTAAATTAATTTATCTTTTGGAGGAAGAGATAGAAAAGAAACGTAACAAAAGCAATAGTTATAAACGAGAGGGTTTCGCCCCCTAATACATTAGATAAGTGATAATAATGGTTTTATGCTTAATACCTGTCAGATGAGAACAATTGGCGTAACGATTACCCCGATGAAGGACTGTGGTCATCAGATGATGAGGATTCAAAAACAAAGACAAGACAATGTTTAGATGAAGACTTTGGTTTCGATATGGGTAAATATAGCCAGTCTGTTTTATTCTATGGAGGTTGGGATCAACACCAAGCAAATCGATCAAAAAAAAATGAAAACTATCCCAAGTCAGGCACGATATTTGTTCACAGGCTTATTAATTTCCAAAACAGGTTAACAGAAACGTAGTACGCTATGTTATTCTCGGGAACTCATGGGTAAAATTCTGTCATTCCTTCCTCGCTCCCAGAAAAAAATAGGGGTAATTATTCTGGGAGCGAAAAACGAGCGACAGAACTTTACCCCTGGGTTCCGAGGATGAAGCCATGTTAGGCCCCGTCCACACGTATCCGCAAATTTTTGTATCCGCAAATTTTTTTTGCGGATACGGGTTGCGTCCACACGTGTCCGCAAATTTTTGTATCCGTATCCGCACATTTTACGAAAACGGATACGTGTGGACGGTGAAAACGATTCGAATACGCTGCGTGTGGACGCAAACATTTTCGTATCCGCAAAAAATAATTTGCGGATACCAAAATTTCCGGATACTTGTGGACGGGGCCTTAGATGGCAGGAGCAATACAATCGTTTTACATGAAAAAGAATCCAAATCCAAAGAGCAAAGGGATTTTATTGTCCTGCCATCTAACCACAGGCAGTCCAAGCTGGATTATGGGCTGAGCACGTGATGGTGCAAAACCTATATTCCACTTCTCTTGAGGAAGGAGGGGTGAATCTTTTTTAGGTGTAGAAGTTCTTCATTGTCTTGGCCCCAAGGCCTAAGTGGGGTCTAGAAATCCTTTGCTCATACAATAATATATAGCTGTAAGCCGGTATTAGTACCCATACTTACTAACTATAACCTGTACATTCAGATGATGATCCAACAAAGTATCACAAGCAAGCATTTGGCGAGGACTTATCAAGTGATGACGATGAACTGGATTATTATGGTGAACCTTGCACACTATCCTCAAGGTACGTCACATATACTTACTTCTGAAAAAATACAGCGCGCAAAAAAATCATATCATGGCACAGGACGCACAGTACGGCATAGCACGGCACGCGACGCCATGTGACGCAGGGTACGGAACGCATGGCATAGCACGGTACAATACCCATGGCACGGCACGGCACGTCATAGGACGCAGGGTACGTAACGCATAGCACGGCACGGAACGTCATAGGACGCACGGTACGTAACGCATGGCACGGCACGGAAGGAAGGAAGGAAGGAAGGAAGGAAGGAAGGAAGGAAGGAAGCAAGCAAGCTTCTTTATTTTGCCACGGTAAAAACATCAGTCAATTGCCTAAAAATATTTAAAAGTAAAGATTTACGATTAAAAAGCTAGTTACTGTTTTACATGTTTGCCGTGGAGCCCTTAGTTACAACTTTTCTT